AGAAGAAGGAGAGAAATCTCAAAGATTAACCAAAATAAGAGGGAAGAGGCAGAGCTCGGGGAAAGCAGAATCAATCTCACCCCCAACAACAGGCCAGTACTTATAGTTGTTGAAGGTAAGTTGAAAGGTTAAAGTTGCCTCGAAAATTGCAACCGTCAGACGTTTCAAATTTCAAAAACCGCCCGCCCAGGTCGACAAATCAGGGGAAGACACATGGACACCTATCGGATGTAGCTAGTAGCCGCTGACGTAACAAGTTCCGCACAACGCCTGGGGGGCATGACACACCCGCGAAGAAAGAAAAAAGCTCGCAGAAATCAAATCTCGATCCCGAGAGTCGCGCGCGACCGTCCAGCAAAAATCTCGATCCCGAGAGTCGCGCGCGACCGCCCAGCAAATGTAATGACCAAACAGCGCACGCGTCCTACCGAGAAATCTCCTGAAATCACGCACACGCGAGACGAAAAGGCGCACCTGGAGAGCAGTTACAACCCCGGACGTCACGCCCAACCACTTGAGAAAGCCCCGCGGAGGCCACACAGACCCGAGTCAACTTCCAGGGAGCCAAACAGGCGGCATTCGCAGAATACCCCCTGATGGGGGGCAATTGTTGGGCATATGACTCGGGTCTAATCGCGCGAAGAAACTGACGTCCCCAAGCGCGCCCAAGCCCCTGCGCGCTGTCAAAGATGTCAAGCGCCAGACGACGACATCTCAAAGTAGAGAGTCAACCAGATCAGGAAACCATGGGAAAAGTGATCCTGCAGTTCCCGAGGAGCAGTCACATCACAGTCCTAGATAAGTCTCCCATGCCCTAGGCAGCAACCTATATCCTCTAGCGTGTCAGAGGTCATGTCAGAGGTCATGTCACCTTACCACCATGTAACTCACCCACCACCATTCAGCCTATAAATAGGGCATTTACTACGGTGGGTGAGAGGATCGCATTTTCCAGACTCTATCTCTACAATCATCAACTTCTCTCTCTATACTCTGTTCTCCCAACCTTGTTCTTCCCCACCTTCATTCCTCATTCTATAATCGATTCCTACTGCTTACTCTCCTTGACCCTCTTTCTCCCTCGAACCTCACTCCTACACTCAGTTAGGTTCAAACAGAGTACGAGTATTTGATAAATTATAATGATAAAATATGTGCCTTACTACTATATGTCGAATCATTATAGGGCTGAAATTGAACCTGAGCTGCCGCTAATCCTGTAACGGTAAGAATTATGTCTGCACTGCTCTTGTAAGGTCAATTTAGAAAATTCGATATGTCTCTATTTTCTTTTTGATCTCGTCTTACCCTTACCCTATAGGGTCGGGTCAGGTTGAGTCAGTGGATCGACTAAAATAAACACTAATTTTCAGAAAATTATATTTTGGTGCACTTTTTTCTGCCCAACCTTATCTCTATCTTTTTGCAAGCAATAACAGCAGCCTTCACAATCCTTAAAAGAGATTGGAGCCATAATTAGCAGGTCTATTATGCAAAAGTTAACTGTTGAAGCATGTGCACTTGTCCTTTGAGTTCATAAAACAAAGTGAACTAGAGAATCACTCTCCCTGACAAAGGAACTTTCAAGAGGGTGGCTAAATTCTAAGGGGCCTGGGTCTCATATGCTTTTCCAGCTTTTCTTTTTGAAGCTACGCTTTGTCTCATCGATATCTCAAGTTTGATTATGTATAGCTTGCTAATACTGAGCTTTTCCTCTTTCATGATTAGGCTGAGAAGTTGGGTTACCGTTCTACGGTTTAACCAAAATCGGAATGGTCTTGGAAGACTATCGGTTAATTAAGCAAGAATCAGAATAGAATGGTTGCGATTTTGGTCTTTGATCATGTTTCGATGTAGCTGCAAATCGAATCGCAAAACAAAATGATGATAAATTTTGAAATTTTTATTTTGATATATTTTTAAAATGATGTTGAATTTTGAAACTTGTGTAGCAGACATTGGTAAATTGTTTTGTCTTATATATTTAACTTCTAAGTGGCAAAAGAGACGTAACCAAATATGCATATGATGTACCTTCTGGGAAAGATATGAAGCAACAAAAGGGATCCTTCTATTCTATTCTATTCACATAATAATTAAATTGAAGTATTAAAGGAGTCACATGATCAAAACCAAACAAGGTCCATTGTGTTTCTCCATGAGTAAATATTTGCATTAAAGATTCCGCAGCTAGATTTGACTCTCACACATGAAACCCAGCCCACATTCAAAGCTCTTCAATCGAATTCATCAGACTATTCATCAAGCTAATTCATATCAATGAGTTACAGAACAAAAAGCAGTTGACACAGAGGAAAGTAGGAAGAAGGTGTTAGGGTACAATGTCAATGCGTGGTGCAAACTTGAAAGAGATCCATGGTAGTAGCTTAAGCTCGGGATTAAAAAAAGGTACCGTACTGTTGGTTCGACCATAAAAACTTCTTACTGGAGGCTGGATCGGAAGGGGCATGGTATGAGCATAAAAAAGTCTATCACTGGCTTTTCCAATACAACCTCAAGTACGGTTTTTAAACGATAAAAGTGATACATATGTGTTTTGAAACCTCTATTACATATTTATAATTCTTGGTTAGGGTACAATTCAAGTAATCACATCAAAAATATAATGGAAATAATTCTTGTATATAATTGTCCAACTACCTTATTAATATAAGGTTTTTGGGAGGAAAGCCAAATATAAATTTGTGCGGATTTAACACAAAGCAAATAATATCTTTTCCTAAATGAAGTTATCCGATTTCAACAATAGCCGTGTGATGGTTGAGAAACTTGTCCTATCTATCGTCTAGTCTGCGTCCAAATTAAATTCAGACCGAGGAGGTGGGAAATGTAACAACTAGATTCCTGATTAATGAAGCAATCTATTAAATTAATTAGTTAACTTGATTGAGGAGGTCATTAATGGATATCAAAGTCTTTGAAGCACGTACACTGTACACATAGAGCTGGTGCAAGCAAGCAAGCTAGGCTGTAAATGCCGAGTGATGATGAATCAGTTGTCAACTGGGTCTGTGCTCTGTAAGTTTCAATGTTAAGAAATCGGAGAGGAGGGAGGTAGGGCACAAGTGAAGTAAATACAAACCTTGGAATCCACAATGCAATTATTATGGATATTAATTTCCTCTCTGTGCTTGCTTTCGTTGTGTTGTAAGGTCATAGAGCCCAGAGCAACGCTTTTACTACTTTGCTATTCTAATTGAGATCTGCCATTCAACAATATCAGTAGAGGAGTGAAAATACAACCCTACCTAGTAATTCACCCTATCAATCTGATCCGCATTGCGCCCGATCAACCTGTAATTTGAGTTGACTAAAAGTGAATGACCCCTAATCCATCAAATTCGTAACCTGATTGATCTGAACCCAATTAAAAGTTGATCCGTCCAACCAGAACATGCCCAATTAACTGAATAATTTTTATATTATATCATATATAGTATTACGAATTTGAAGTTTTCGATTTTAAGCAAAGGTAGAGCATTTTTCAGTTTGTAAAGTGAAGTTCAAAATCTTAAATTAACTTGAAATAATGTATTTTTAATACAAGTGCACATATTAAAATATGAATTCACTTGAATATTAAGTTCTTTAAAAAAATTACAAAATAATATTTTTGAAATATAAAATTAGCACAATACCAATATGATAATGAATATTTAACAATTAAGTCAAAGTATAACATTAATATAATATAGTTTACAATAAAATTATGGTTAACTTAACTATTCAACAAATTTATTAACTAAATGTAAATCTAGTTAGGTAATGTATTAGTAAATTTTATTATTTTGAAAGAAGGAGAAATTTGGTGTTTTCAACTTTTTGAGAAAAGAAAGAAGAAAAAAGTTGATACTTTCAATTATAGGGAAAAAGGAACATTTTGGTGATTTTGATTTACGGGAAGAGGATAATTGACACAAATATTATTATTTTTTATATTTACCACCAATATGGCGGGTTTAAAAGGCATTGACACAAATATTGTGTAGGTTAAAGAGCGGGTCCGCCCGAGACTCAAGCGAGGCCGTTGTTTGGATTTTTTAGTTCAAACAGAGCGGACCAACTCGAGTCAAAGGTGGTGCCGCCCGAGACTCAAGCGGACCCGCCAGCCCTTCCTTTTTATACTTTCCACGTCCGTCGCGCCTCGTATCTTCTTCTTCCTCTCATCAGGAAACCACAAGCACACCATTCTTCTCTCCCGATCGATCCCAAGCACCCAGACCAGAGAGTTCCCGCCACCGACTCCAGCAACTATGCCTGAGACAGAGGAAGACGCGCATGAGACAAAGGCTGCTGCACCTGAGTCCCAAGCGAGCCCGCGAGCCCGCTAGCAGATTCTTCTCACGCCGCGCTGGTTTTTTTGATTTGGGGAGATGTCCGGCCACGAGGAAGCCGCCAGAGGAAGGGGGAGAGGGCCGCGAGGTCGTGGCGGCGACCGATATCGTGGTGAGGATCTCGCCGGCGGCAGCGGTTTATTTATTTATTTAGTTTTTATGGTTTGACTAATTTTTTTTTTGTTTTTCAGTTTCTAGGCTTATGTACAGTTATTCCATGAGACCACCGCCTTCAACAATTGATCCAGCTCCGGTTGATTCAGTACTTCTTTGGGAACATGGTCAACACCACGTCGACTCAGTTTGGGCAAACGAGGTAAGTCTTTCATAAATACTACTTCTTTTAAAGTTCATTAGCTAGTTAGATTAGACTATTATAGATTTTTACTAGTTGAACTAAACTGGAATTAGAATAGAATTACGTATGAATTTTTTTAAAATTATTAGTATAAATTTAAATTAGATAGATTTTGCTAGGTGAAATTAGAATTGCACATGAAATTGAATTAATATAAGTTTTGTGCACTATAGGTTGGTGATGGACCTTACCATGTTCGAGGTACGACCAATTTAGTCGCGTACCATGCACATTATCATACGTATCTCAGAGAGGCGGGCTTTTCTAGCATTCTGACCCTGGTCCCAATGAATGTTGATGCAAGTTGTATTACTACGCTCGTAGAGCGTTGGCGACCCGAGATGTCGACCTTCCACTTGCCATTTGGTGAGGTCATGATCACTTTAGAGGATGTTGTGACACTAATCGGTCTAGCAATCGACGGTGATGTCGTCGTAGTAGACATACCAGATGAGGAGTGGTCGAATATATGTATGAGACTGTTAGGATGGGTTCCTGATGATCTTTCCAGCGGTGTCGTTAGGATTGGTTGGTTGAGGGATGAATTCAGTCATCTCCCGACAAATGCATCCCAGGAAACTACAGAGCAGTTTGCACGAGCTTATGCTCTATCTCTGATGGGAGTTGTACTGTTCCCGTATCAGTCTAGAGCTACGGTGCAACTACAGTACCTACTTTTGGTGGAGGATTGGCAGAGAGCTGGACCGTACGCCCGGGGAGCAGCTGTTTTAGCCTACCTATACCGTGAGATGGTTAGGTCGGTTTTGCACATTACGCATTCCTCCTCTTCCCTAGGAGGTGACCTTGTTGGATGGATCCTCTTACTGCAGCTCTGGGCATGGGATCGATTTCCATATCTAATACCGCGACATGCAGAGAGGAAAGCGCAGATTACCGAGGATGCATTCCTACCTGGTGTTCGATGGCTTCCGGCAAAAACTCGTCAGTACAGTGACCAATTATTCCTGTACAAGTTGTGGTTCGACGAGATGGAGACCATGGTGGTTAGTATATAACATTTCGTTTTATAGAATAGTTTTCATTGGTTTGTTATAGATTTAGGAGTAATCATGTGACCACTTTTTTGTGTGTAGTGGCAACCTTACGTTGAGAGTGCACAGAATCTCAGAGGCAGTGTGATCCAATATGAGACTAATTTGCTTTTCAGCGATGATGTGGCACCATCCAGACCACGTGCTCCGGCAGTTTGGCATGAGGCAGGATGAGCCTCGTCTGCCACATAGTGAGGCTGAGGTTAGGTTTTTCCTTCGCTAGCTTACACGTGGGGCATTGCGTGGGCAGCAGTTGGTACACGCCTCCAAAGAGTCGATTGCTCTTTGGAACCGTCGACATAAGTTCATAGCGAGGATGTCATACATTGAGGAGGTTTTAGCCAACCACTCGGAGTATATGGAGTGGTATCGAGATGTTACCAAACGTTCAAGCACACTAAGAGGAGCTGCAGTGGAGGCTGTGGTTAGTTATTGAGTGTTTCATATTTTAGTTTGATTTGTTTTTTAAATTCGTATATGTGTGGAATCTCTGACATTTTAAATTTAATTTTCAGTACGACACTATGGAGTACGCTGAGCTGAGTTTACGTGATGGATTACGAGCTGGAGGGATATCCACCGACCAAATGATGGAGTTGGCTAACATTATGGCATCAAGGGTTACTGCTTTAGGTTTGGACAGGCTTACAGTGCCAGTTTAGCGGTATACTGATGAGCACAGCATGGCTAGCTGGCCAGAGCGTACGGATCTGACGCGGGATTGGGCCGTACCAGAGCCACAGTTCAGACAGGAGCCCAGGAGGCGTAGACAGCGACGTGAGTATCGCGACGTACCTAACCCAGTGAGGATTTCAGATCGTCAGCGAGCACAGCCCGTCCAGCCTACTACGACCTTCCATTTCCAGACGCAGTTTCAGCTAGACATTTCTTTTGGATTTCAGCCAGGGCCTTCTTCGGAATTTCAGCCTGAGCCTTCTTCAGCATTTCACGAGCCTTCTCAGTCGCAGTTAATGGGAGGCGGATACATGGCCTCAGGTAGTGATACTAGAGCAGGCACACAGTCAGACATGTGGGACACACTAGAGGGTGATACTACTTTTCAGGATACGATGTGGTGTTATGAGCAGCAGATTCATGTGGGTAGGGATGGCAATTTCGACCTGACCCATTTTACCCAACCTGTTTGACCTGTTTTGGGGCGGGTCCTACCCGCCCCGTAGGCGGGGTGGGGCGGGCATGGGTAGTCTCATCGACCCGACCTGCCCTGACCCGCCCCATTCTCGACCCGTTCTTGTCTAAATTACATGAAATCTTAGTCAAATTACTTTCAATTTTACTTTTACCGCATCATATTTTAGCTATAATAAAGTTGTAAATTAGTGAAAACCTTAATTTCTCTAATAATTTAACTAAAATTGTCATAATATTGTTTATTTTCTTAGTTTTATAATAAAAATAACGAATATTTCTAATGTTTTTCAAATAAATTGCATACTCATTGGGTCGACCTGCCCCGACCCGTGACCCGTGATCAATTACCCGACCTGGACCCGCCCTGCCACGGGGCGAGTCTGGGTACCAAGAAACCCGCCCCGGACCTGCCCCATTGCCATTCCTACGGGGGCATTTGGTGGCGGTGCACCAGAGGAGCAGATTCAGTCTCAGGTGGATGATATGTTCGGTACACAGGATCACGATGATACAGTGGAGGGAGATAAGCCCGAGCACGATGATGGTAGGCCTCCATGGAACAGGCGGGCAACAAGGTGTGGTATTGGCGGCCATCTAGTGGATCAACATGGTGGTCGTCGTGGTGGTCGTTAGTGAGACTATTATGCTTATGTTATTATTCTGTACTTATATGGATTATTTATGGGGACTATTTTTATTTTCATGTGGACTATATTACTATTATGTATTGTGTTATTATTGTTAGTCATGTATGTTGCTATTGTATAAAATGAAAACTTTAAAGGACTAATACCACTACAACACCCGAACTATGACGAAAATGCCACTTGTATCCTATTCTTTTCAATATTCCATTTATGTCCTGAACTATTTTTCCGTTAAAGTTGACTGGCGTTGACCGTTAATTTTTAACAAAAAGTCTAATCAGCATTGATGTGGCAACTGAGGTGGAATTTATCAAAATTTTTATTTATTTTTTATGTCACTTAACAACAAAATTATAATGAAAAATAAAAAAAACCTTCCACCGTAACCTTCCTCCGCCCACCCACCTACCCTTCCCCCATCGTCTTCGAGATCCCTTTTTCGTTCCCGATCCATTCGTTTCACTTTCTTTCCAATCAAAATACCCACTACACTAATCCGTTAATCTATGATTTCTTCCAACTCTGGTAATGCATCATTGCAACCTGGGAAATAATGGTGAGGCGGATAGGAGGAGCAGTGAATGTTTTGCTTATTCCAATGGCGATAGTGTCGCCGATGGATAAAGTTTGTACTGGTAGTCGGAGGTAGTCATAGAAATCGCTCCCGTCGACGTTGAGGCTCCGGATAAAGCCTGTACGAGCATCAAAAGCAAGAGACGGAGAATGGGCGACAAGGACGATGTTGCTGTAACTGCGGCAGCGGCACCAGATCTGGGCTTGCTGCTACTGCATTCGTCGAAGCCGGAAGCTGGGTAAGCTAAATCCACCTCCCTTCTTCCCCAAATCGATGGCGATGTGGATCCAGAAGCCGAAAACATCTGATTTCGCTGTGGCGATCCCCCTATTGTGGAAACATTCGAGCTGTTCGTGGTGTTAGTAGAGAGCTGCCGCCAACACGCTCCCGATCTCCTTTTGCCGGTGCGAAATTTTCTGATTTCTGGAACAGAACCCCGTTTAGACTTCGAATGGGCATGCAATCTAAGACCAAGAACAACTGGTCCTCGTGGAATGGTGAATGACGATTCAGCTTTCGCCAAGGGGCAGGGGAGGAAGATGAAGAAGCAGAGAAGAACAGACCGGCGACTTCGAAGATATATATTCTTGAATTTTGGGTTTTTAGAATATTATTTAGTAATATTTTTGAATTTAGAGTTTTTTCAAATTTTTATTTTCAAAGTTTTATTTCATATAAATTAAAAATGTGAAGCTTAAATGACGTGGCATTGCCACGTGAGCAAAAGTCAGTGTTGAATTGACCGCCGTTTGGTCAACGGTTATCTTTAACGGTCAATGAAATTGGCAGGATACAAATGACACAAAATATAATAGTTCAGGATATGAATGGAATATTGAAAAGAATAGGATACAAGTGGCATTTTCGTCATAGTTCGGGTGTTGTAGTGGTATTAGCCCAACTTTAAATATAAAACCAACAAACGACAACAACTAGGACATTTCATAAAAGTCCCAACAACAACTTCAAACAACAACAACTTCTGCAAGAAAAATAGAAAGTTACAGAGATACCAAACTACATACCACATCTATTAACACTACTTCCTCTTCTACCATCTTTCGCACGTCGTTGGCTACCACTTCCTCTTCGCTGGCTCCCACACCCACTTGCTTGGCCACCACAAGTTGATGCATTATGTCCAGAGCTACTACACACTTGTTGCGCTACACCCTCTCTTGGTCAATCTATCTCGTTGTGAATTGTTGTTGATTGTGGCCTCCCCGGCTTCCTAATTCTATGCACATTAAGATGGAGAGTAGAGCCATCATGCTTCTTCCAACCTTTAGGTTCACAAGAGGTGTGAAACTTGTCCCATAACAAGCCAACACTGTTGAAAGCTTGTAGATGTCGTTTACAAACCAATACGGGTTAGCCCCCATTTGGTTGCAAGCAGCAATGGCATGAGAGCAAGAAATTTTATTTCCTTGAAATTTCCCACAAGTGCAAAATCCCGCCCGATTGTTGTCGTCGAAGTGCACTGTGAGTGTGTTTGAACCCGTCATGTTGAAATTGTTGGGAGGATTCTGAACTACATAGATGCCCTGACGTCGATCAACCCCTGTCACGGAATGTCCAACTGCCTTTTGTGCCCACGGCTTCATCAGTTTTTCGCATGGTATGGTGTATTGTGACTGCCCACTTCTTATTTGTACTTCTGTCTCCAACCTCGTCTTATCGAATTTCTCCAATAATCGCCAATAAGTATGTTGCACAAGAGAAGCTATGGAAGTGAATGATTACCTTTGAAAACACCATTAATGCTCTCTACCATGTTGGATGTCAGGATGGACCATCGACGCCCACCATTATAGTTATCATGTGCTAAACGCCAACGAAGTTGATTTTGGTCCACCCAGTTATCACATGAAATATTCCTATCAGCGACAATCTTCATAAATTGCTCAACTTGACGATCGAACTTCTCCAACCATTTTTCTCCGGCTAACAAGATAATAACCACATGAGTTAGATAAATTCATGACAAAATTAAATAAAAATTAATAATACATTAAAATAATTAACAATAATGATGAAGAAGGCTTACCGACTCGAAATAGTTGGTTATACATAATTCTGCTTTTAGTCTTCCTTTGCAAGTTGCTTGCATAGTGTCGCATGCACCACTTCCACTCCCAACTTCTTACGATGTCACGCATGGCTTCATAGAGTCCCGCATGTCTATCTGAGATTATGCAGACATCATTTCGATCGGTCAAACCTTGAACGTGATTTTTGAACCATGACCAACTATCAGTATTCTCGCTCTCCACTATGGCAAATGCAATTGGAAAAATCTTCTTCCAGACATCAAATGAGCTCGCCATGAGTAGCACTCTTTTATACTTTCCAGTAAGTAATGTTCCATCAACAACCATGACTCCTAGACAATTCTTGAATCCATCTATGCAATGTTCATAAGCCCACAATACTCGCCGAAAGATCAAATGACCTGGTTGCGATGAAGGAACTCCTACCCAATCAATCACGGATGTTGGCATTTTTCTCTTTACCACCCGCAAGAATGTTTGCAAATAATCATAGGATTCTTTCCAATTTCCATGCAACTTCTCCAATGCTCTTTGTTTCCC